TACCGTGTCTCCAGATATGACAAAGAAGCGTTCTACATGTATTATTTAATATAACAAAGAAGCATCGATATTTTTTCTACATGTTGCGGCACGGCGAGAGAAGCGCTGGCTGCTGTTTATCTAAACGGAGTGCGCATAGGATGGGAAGTAAAAAATGTACACGGCAATGTGCGAATGAAAAATATTTTATTCACATTTTTTTTACATCGTTTCCTTCGTACGTATTAATAACTAAAGCTAAGAGCTCGCAATCGACGAGCTGATGCGTGTTGAAGATGCCGCTGTCGCGTATAGCGTTCTCTGACATCGCTAGCAACGCTTTCTGGAAAAAAAGAACAAAAAAGCATTTTTTGATCACTATTCGTTTTTTCAGTAGAGAATAAAATATAATACATTAGTCATCCTAAACGCGTCTATAAACAAAAAAGTTACTTACCTTATGGTTTATATTTTGATAGCGGCGACGGCGACGACGACGACGACGAAAACGTTGGTGACTTTGATGCTTTTTCCCCAGGACATTCCCAATATCTCATTTTTTCCCTCGTTGATGCTTTTTCACCAGGACATTCCCAATATCTCACTTTTTCCCTCGATGGTGGTGAACTTAACGACTTTGATGCTTTTTCTCCAGGACATTCCCAATATCTCACTTTTTCCATCGATGATGATGATGATGATGATGATGATGGACTTGACGACTTTAATGCTTTTTCTCTAGGACATTCCCAATATCTCACCATTTCCCTCGATGATGATGAACTTGGTGGACACACAATCAGTGGCAAGGGACGGTACCCCTTGCGCTCGACCGATTTTCGATGTATATATTCTTTAGTCGATCCATGTCTTAGTGATTGTAATTGAGGCTTACAATTGAATAAAAAAAAAGCTTTATACACTGTCTATATATACACTGTCCGATCGGTGATACGTCGCGACGCGTTTAAGAGAAGCGCCGATGTTTCGGCTGCTCAACAAAACATAACTCTTCTACAATAAAGAAAGTGACTCTCCTGCAGTGAGACAAAGAAGTATGAAATCACTACGTTCTCACAGTTATTTTCAAGGCCAAGAAACATCGATAGCGATATTTTTTTGGGAAGAGATCGGTAACACCTTGCAACGCGTTAAGAAAAGCGTCGGCTACTGTTTAGTCAACAAAATATTATCAATGAGAGGTAGAAGTATGAAATTACACTGCGTTCTCACAGTTCTTTCTTTCATGACCAAGAAGCATTGATAACGATAACGATATTTTTCTGGGAAGAGATCGGTAACACATCGCAACGCGTTAAGAAAAGCATCGACTACCGTTTAGTCAACAAAGTGTAATCTAATAGGACATAGACAAAGGGGCAAAGAAGTCGCAAACGAAATATATAATGGGTCATAAGCACGCGACACCTCAGTTGATGCTCTGGAAGAATATCGAATCGATCGCAAGGAGAGTAATCGGAATGTATGGCTGACCATCGTGCGAACGTTGAGGACATAGTGTTCGAGAATATCAGAAACGCGGATCCGGAACACCTCGAGCATATTATAGACGAGGTATTTGAAGAAATGGAAATAGATTTTGAGGAGATAATGGACCAAGAGTCATCAGACGAAGAAGTATTATCCGACTGGATGTGCGAGTGATTTAAGCGAGTACAATACGAATCGTGTAGAAAAACTTTATCGTCTCCGGAAATCCGCGCTCTGAACATTCGTACTAAACACTGCATGATTCAATGCTACACAATGGGTGGTGCGTATGCAGTATGTGCATCATGCATGATTAATATATCGGACACTGACATCAACGTAATGTATCTCGTCAGGAAGCATTATACCGAGAGTCGGTGCGCTAGATAACCAATCGTATTTTAATTGTAGACAGCCGATGTACACTGTATTTCCATGCAACGTGTGTCCAATGTGCACATATTGAAAAAAATATTGTGAATAGTATTGTGAACAGTATTGTTAACAGTATTGTGAATGTGAAAAGTATGGCTGACCATCATGCAAACGTCGAGGACATCGGAAACATGGATCCGGAACAGCTTGAGAATATCATAGACGAGGCAGATGAAGAATATGAATATGACTCTGCCGTATACGATGTGCAGTACGTTCTCAGTAATCCACAGAGGAGAGACGAAGTTACGCGAATATCACAGGTGCAGTTCCTACGCGATCGAGAATTAGGTATACGCGGAGAGAGACAGGGAGTCGTTATCAGAGAACCCATTTATTATTGGTCCTTACTCGCGCGACAGAAAGTGTACTCGCGGTTACGAGACGAATGTTACAAGAATGATGATGACAATGAAAAGAGATTGTTAGCCAAACATTGGTGGGCTAGGATTTTTCACAATTTCAATGTGATAAAGGACAATCATTATTAGGTGAAGAAAATCGCGGAAAAGAGCGAATGTCCCAGCATGTCCATTACGATTCCTGCGGGTAATGAGAAGTGCGTCGAACTGCTAATAATTGGCAATATATGGACCGAATATCACGACCGCGATAAGATTCCTATGCTGTTTCTTGACAAGTGTGATGAACAATGCTATGAGTATGAAGAGTGCAACTTACACATAATAGCAAGTTGCTAGATCATTATTTCAATTTAAACTTAAGGCGATGTTGCAACGTGTGTGAACGACTAACGTGCAAGTGTCCCGTGGAAGAGTGCGACGTGATCTAAGACTGAAAAAAAAGACATGGAAAACCACGATCGAGTGGAATGCGAACTGTTGGAGCAATGCGGCCAGGTCGCTAATCTGGCGGAGTGTCTCGCGTGGCTGCAACGGTGCGACGAGTGGCATCGAGCGGTTGGAAGAACTGTGTCG